TGTTTATGCATCTTTTTGGGCTAATGTACTTTGCAAAACAAGTTCCAAAATGATAGGTGTAGGATGAAATATTTCTCTTTCTGTAAAATATCTCCTCATCAAATGCAATGGGTAGCAATAATTGTAAGTGTATTTGGTGACTTGTGATGTGTGAGCTACATTTTACTAACTTCATCTAATTTACCAATATTACGCAACAGCAAGATAGTGTAATGAGCTACACAGACACTGAAATAATGTTCAGAACTTTTTCTCCAATGACCAACTGGTTTAGCAACATAATTTGGATAATAAGATTCTGAGCCATCATATGCGAACATACTGCGAATTCATGAACACCACAAGTTTTCTAAATAAATTGTAGAACAATACAACGGCCTTTGAAGCATATAAAGCATCAATAAATTTAAAAAAAAACCGATACTTTAGGACAACAAAATAGAAAAGTAATAAGAGTTCTCTTAAATTCAGGTGTCCCAACCAATCTCATTCCATATAGCACATTAGCTATCAACAAAATTATGCACCTTCTTGATATTTTTACCAATAATTAACTATGAGGACTATGAAAGTTTGACACATTGTAGCCACGGCCCAGGTAATCTGTTAACATCTATAGTTTGCTAATAATACACATAATTCACAACACTGAAAGAAATGCAAGAAGCAAAATTCCATTTCAATATAATAAAGTCGCACATTTCTATAGTTTTTTAATTTAAAGCATTCTTTAAGGGTGGGTCGATCATCAGGACACAAAGACCTATTCTTGGCATGAAGAAAGTACTAATTCCCTAATTGTTCTTTTTCATTTCTACATCTAATCTGTTTTTTTTTTTTTTTTCACCCGCTACACCATTTCATTTCAAACACAAATCTCTTTAAGAGTTCTTTTACTTCACTCTTCAAAAATTTCTTGACTTTACGTTTATTTGCAAATACTACAAGATATTCAAATTTTGAACATAGTTTACATGTAACACCAGGAAGTACAAGACATAAATTTATGGTCTTAATATTGTTTGACTCAATTAATAACACCTTCAACAAGAATTTGCATAATACAAGCCAACTAATAGCTGTTTCATTTCTGTTATGACCAGCTTAAAAAATTTCTATATAATGCCCAATGGAGTGGCTAAAAAGGTATCATGTAGCCGACCAAAAATTTACAAAGAATGAGGCTTAGTTTATTGGTGTTGTAAATCTTTCTCCACAATCACTTCATGACCTTGGAGCATTAACAAACTAACCATGGGTGTCATGAAATCAAAATTGATTTACTTTCCTCATGGGGAAAGTTATTAGTTACTAAACCCATAGTATTTTATCATTATCTATTAAAGCTATCTCCATGGGTGTTGTAATTCAGTTTTCTCTGGGGAGAGTTCTTAATACTAAAGTCTTGGTATTGTATTGTTATCTATTAAAGCTTTCTCCACAATCACCTCAATAATCTTGAGGAATTAGAAGACTAGACATACTAAACACTCATATCATCTTCACACAATGAAAGATAAATGTGCATGAACAATAACTTACATGATAATTCACAATAAGGTAATATCTGGAAACTGAAAGTTCATAATATCTTGAATTGGAAGAAAATGGAGGAAGACAGGATTTTATTCTTTTGATTGACAAAAATAAGATGTCAAAGAACCAAAGCAAGAGATGAATTGCACAGAATTTTGTACAAGGATGGATTTTGTACAAAAATTCCACCAGCAACACGTGCTGCGAAATACCAATGACGTACCTAAGCCAAGCTCGTTGGTAGTTTCGGCAGCATTCATTGCATTGTCATGTCTTGCTTGTTAACAAATTCAAGCAATTAACACTGCTTGATCAAATTTTTGGTTTTATCATTAACACTGTTTAAGGGAATAGTTATTATCAAATAATTTTAATTTTTTTAATTTACATTTTAATTTATTGCTCTGACAATGGCTATACAAAAAGAAGAAAACGAAAGAACACACATGAAGGGAAACAGAGGATTTTACAAAATTATAGGTATTTCAGTATAAAAATTCATATTGGGCAAGGAGATATGAAATCAAAGGTGCAAATGGAAAGGGAATTCTACAAGAGGGGCGAAATTCTTCCATCTACATATTTAATTATAATAAACAAAATCACAAGAAAAGATAGAGTCTCATACTTACATGTTCTGTGGCCATCAAATACAACTTCAAATTAAAGGCTTGAATTCCTGGGTCGCTTGCAAGAGGAAGATGGCTGGAAGGATTTTCACTAGTTTTTGCCTTTTTTGTTTAACAGAATTCTCGATAGAGAGGCAGCCGATGAAAGAATGGATAGGGCAATAAAAAATTTCTCTNGGATAGGGCAATAAAAAATTTCTCTTAAGTAATACACTGGCAACGTTTTCAAAATGGCCACTTAAACCTAACTTATTCTGGTAATTATACTATATTACCACCATAAATTTTTGTTAATTACACCACAATTTTAAGTATTTTTTTTTTTTCTGTTTACTTAAATAATCTTAAATAAAATTACATAAGTTTTTAATATATCTCTCACATGAAATAATTTATTGTTCCACCATAATCGCAAAATTCTCTTGGTACTTTCATCAAATAGCTTGTCGGCATATTTAATCTACCACAAAAATATTAAAAAGTCAAGATATATTCTTGAGATTAGGCGTTGCTTGATTCCATTTTTTTCAAAATATATATTTTTCTCTCTTTTTTTTTAATTATACATTCTTTAATAAAATAATATTACCCACTAACCAAAAATATTTTCTTCATTTTTAATTACAAATGCTTCGTCAATCTATTATTTCAAAATGCGTTTTACACAAAAATAAAAAATAATAATTAAAAAAAAAAAAACAGGGCTCAAACAGCCCTGTAAATACAAAATTGTGTTATATCAGTGTTCTATGCTTCCAACATATACTTTGAAAATGAAAATAGCATGTATTCCTATCTCCAACCTTTAACCAACCGACCTTACTTCCATACAGTTCCTCTCGAAGCACAGAAGAATTAATAGAAATTTCATGTGGCAACATATTATTGAACTGTTTAAAACTTAGTCAACTTTTTCAACATTCACATCTTGTCAACACTTATTTTGTCAATCATTATGTCACA